GTAGTATAAGTAATAATATANACACACACACACACTATATATATATATATATATATATATATATCGTATATATTTATATATATATATATAATATATATTTATATATGCATCTATATATATATATATATATGGTAGTAAACTGTTGTCAGCTAACAATGAGTAATAATCTGCTAGATAATTGATGTGTAATGCAACAACTGATAGTACTGATCTCAGTCTATACTGATATGCTGATGGCACATTATGTACTTCTACAGGCTCTTCCCAGAATGGAGTTTAGAGCAGAGAAAAGCGTTCACGGTAGTGAAGGAGAAACGGTTAATGGTTCTAGTGAATAAACCAGACGCTCTCCATCCTATCAAGGGGTTAGTCGAGTTCGCCAAGTTTGCAGATGAGCACAAGATAGCCCGTGTCTGCGTCACAAACGCACCAAGATAGGTTATGGAAATGTGTATAGAGTTATTTTCTTAGTGGTATTCTGTCTTTCGTACGGCAGCACTTACATTTATATTGTCAGACACATAACTTTGAAATGTATCAGTTATATTGCGCTTACTTTGAGGGCTCAAATACCAGTTACCATCACATATCCTGTACTTCCACTCACAGTAGTGCCTTAGACCACATCTGTGCACGCGCATTATCACCCACCCTCTACTACCCATCAGAGCACGGTTAACAACCAGAGGAGTCGTCTGGCAACTTTGTCATAACTTCATCACAATTTGTGTACTCTGCATTCACTCGCATCTATTTAATATATATATATATATACATAGTTGACCTCATCGCTTCGTTACTCAATAGGGATAGTGCGTTGCCTATCATCGAGGCTATAGGATTCACTGCTTGGTTGAGTGGGCCCGAGGGCCTCATCAGCGGATACGAATGTAAGCGCGCCAAACCGTTCCCCGATCCATATTTGGAAGGTGCTAGGAAACTAGGTTTACCTCCTAGCGAGTGCATGGCCATAGAAGACTCGTTGGGGGGGCTGCAAGCGGCCTGTTCGGCTGGAGTGGGATTGGTGGTGGGCATCACAACGACCTTTGGGGAAGAGCAGCTCATTGCGGCTGGTGCACATATTGTCATTGCAGACTACACGGACGAGCGCCTTTACACAAAGGTTTAGTGAGACATTCTTAAGTTTTAGACAGGACTTTTCATTCTTTAGGTTTAGCAAACAACATAACTAGATCAAATGCAGTACCAGGCCGATATTGGGAGAGTTCCACACTCAGGATTACCTAGTAATCGTATACCAATTCGAATGCGCATCCACACTGTGGGGCACAAGGAAGTATTTCTACAGCACCGTAAAGCGGATACAGGCGAGTGTTCATTGCTGAGCTTTATCTGACACCTGAATGACACTGACGAATTGCGAACTGCCCCTGGCCCCCGGCCTAGTACAAGCGACGTCACTAGGCCTGTATGAATAAATAATGCATGGCGAGAGACTACTATAGAAGGCAGCGGGTGTTCTTCGTAGTAAGTTTGAATGCGCTGAAATATACCACTGCATTTTGAATGATAGTCTGCTCACGTACATAAAGTCAAATCGACTGATATTCTCGCACTTCAAATGCAATGCACTGAGGTGGGGATAACAAAGCCGAGTGGGTACCGTTGCGAACTAACAGCGTTGTGACAGTCGATATTTGAATTTGAAATCGACATACAAAACTAATTCTTTAGACACGTGAACTTTTCAGTCGTTGAAAAGAATAGAGATAGTAATGCGAAATGGTAGTATGTATATCGCTGGAGTATATAGTAGGTCCAGCAGTTCGACTAACATAGACAGCGTGATTTCCATATACGTATAATGGTGTGTGAAAAGATATAGGTATGTCACATTGACGTGTGAAACGAATACGATATCACCCAAAGTTGATTCCATATTGACCCTGTCATGTTGTTGATGGCCGGGAGCCGTTAGCGCACTCGAAGGAATTCGTTGAAGTGTTCTATAGCTCGAAACAGACCTTACGCTAATAGGTGAACATAAATGACTTACCCGAGAATCCGCACCGAATGATAAGAGTCCAATTTATTTCTGGTGTATATCAAGCCTTCAACATTGGTCAATGATTCTATTGTGTAACTTAAACTGTTGAGCTTTTGGTAAATCGACAACAATGAACACAGTGAGTGGTCTTCAGTGTTCCAGTGTTGCTCGAACCACTATGCGAATAAGCGCACAGAATACATATCGCTTCACATAATGATGACTTTCAATAAAGGCGTCCGGAACGAATGAACAGGGAGAAACAGTGTTGCTTCAGGCTATAGTAGAACAGTATTTGTTGCTATTTAATGCCATGTCCACTGCTTCGGATAGCTGTCTCACAAAATTGAATACGATATTTATCGACATCCGCCTAGTATGTTCACAATAAAACTTTCTCGAATGCAGTAAAACTATTGTTTCCAAGTTATAACTAGATTGATGTACATACACATGATTATAAGAGAGGTCGCACATGGTACTTCAAGTGAGGTATTCGTGCACATGTTCGTGCATTCGTGTATGTTAAGTACGAGCTGCACGCCTTGCCTGCCAACTGAATTTTGACGGGCTATATTTTTCTAAGTTTTTGGGGGTTTTTTAACAAAAAACAAAGTGTTTTTAAAAAAGAAAAAAAATACATATATTATATATGGAATTTTGACTGGGGATTTTGAGCAAACTATAATAAATACGTCTGATTTGCTGGAGATCATACCCTCTCGGGACTCCTATTGGAGTCGTTGGACAGATCTCCGTGCCAATAAAAGTTACAAAACTAACCTGGACAGTACACTGAGCAAGCTTGATTTGCTTCAAGTCTAAAAAATGGACGTCAGTAGGCTAAGCCTTAGGGCGCTTTGTTATCGTGCGAGAATATTTCAAGAAATGTCTGTTTAACAATCAACAATAAAAGACATATCTGATCCTGATATAAAAGAACATGAAAGCAGCGTGGAATTTCTCACTTTCTCTATTCTCTACATTTGTCTACAATGCGTGTTCACCGCGAGTTGAGTACAAGCCTAGTATCGCGGCAGAATCATCTGCAGAAAAAACCTAACCCTTCGGAACTCAACTTTACTCAGCCTCTGGATCAACGAAAGTTGCAGCGGGAAATCTGGATCCGTAAGCAGCCTGCGACAAGATTTGGGCTGTGTATTTGTCGACTGGAGGGTGAGATGTATGTCACAGATGTACGCGAAAATAGTATAGCGTGGAATGCCGGGATTAATATTAGTGATCGCATAGTCTCTATCGATGACATTCAGCTGACTCCCCATCATTTTGATGCCCAGACTGTCCTTGATTTACTTTATCAGGCAGGTCCGAGTTTAGTCCTTCGAGTCGTAGACCAGCCCAGATTCTGCCGTGTTGAGATGAAAAAGAGTACGCCTAACTCTGCTTTGGGGCTTGTGTACTTACCTGGAGCGACGAATGAACACCCAGGTAGAGTGACGAGTGCCTATTTGGGCTGCGCTGCTGAGCAGATCGCCAATGCTAATCTATCGATAGTAAGTGTTGACGGTGAAGACACGATCTCAATGCCAGATAGAGATATGATGGAGAAAGTATGCAAACAATTTGATCAAAACGCTAGAGTCGAGCTGAGCTTGATGCCTATGAATTTAGTGCGTTCTATTTTACTGACACGCAAAACTCAAGAGAGGAACATGGGGAAAAGCCGGAACTCCGTGCGAGGAAATGCTACGTAGATCGCAACCATCAATCAATGCTAACCATGTGGAGAACTAAACAAATCGGCATAGGCCGAACTGATTCTATTTGTCTTGTCTGCTGGCTAGAATTGCTGAAAATGACACAGCCTCCCCATCAATGGTCATGAACATTCAACGTTACAAGACAGAACTGGCAACACACACACACACGCTGCATTGTATATGGCAATTAATATTAGAAAAGAATGTGCTAACATACAACTGGGTACCCACGTGTACGAGGCAAACATCACACATTGAATTCACAAAAAGCATGGCCATATTTATGGTCCGTACATTCAGTCATGTTTTGATGAATCTATTTTATTTCTTCTTCTCTCTACTAGTAGAGGAGGCTCTTTAAATCTAAAGAGCGAGAGAGAGAGAGAGATAGATAGAGGGTATTCATTTATTGTCTCTCCGAAATCATGAAATGAGAACATGACCCTCTAAAGAAGAAATAAAATAATATGCCTGATCGGACTATTGTCCGAAGGACAATGAGAAATGATGTTCTGGAACAGGGAGAATCCTGGACCTAGTTCGGAAGGCAATAAATTAAATTGAGTTTAGAGGGCTATGAAAAAATGCCTTTTGTTTTTGTTTTTTTGTAATACATGTGTGTAACCCCCCCCCCAAATTTATTTTTTTAAAAAATAAATAAATAAATAAAAATTATATAGAAATAAAGCCAAATGCCAATGATAATTATTCTATTTATTGATTGAAAAAAAAATACCCAATTTCTTTTTTCTAAAAGACGCCTCCAGAGTCCAGACAGACAATCATCAATCCATGCCAACCTATTTAAAAATAGTGTTACATGGTCTATGTGTGGAGAGGTGAGGACCAGACAGTCTCCATTTTCCCATTGGCCGTATCTATTTATGCCTGCCCTCTCGGTCCGTGGCTCTCGCCCGCCGGTCAGAACTCCTAAAAACGACACACATATCAACAGTTGAACACTCGCGGCACAAAACAGAACCGGCAATTCACAATTTCACACACACAGTCACACATACACACATCACATTGACGGTATGAGACATCAATGAAATGATCAGAGTGCGCCAAAATAGTAAATGCAACTATTTAGGTATCCAGGTGTACTCGGAAAATTAAACACACATTTAGGTATCCACACACACACACACACACACACACACATATATATATACATAGATATATATATATATATATATATATATATATATAGAGTATATATATATATATATATATGGATATGGATATAGGATATGGATATGGATATGATATATTATATATATATATATATATATATATATGAATCTAAGTACTCAACATTTCACTTCATTTTGCTATTTAGAGCGTGCTTTGTTGAATAATTTAAACTTATACAAGGAGTTCTAATAGTTTGCCATCACGTAGTTGTAGAATGACAAATGATGCACCGCATTGCTGATGCTCCACAAAACAGTGCCATTAAACTGTGTGATCGGAATGTGAGTGACGTGCGTACAACAGAGTTTTGATCAGTGTGTGCACCTGATTTGTACCCGTCACAGACGTGCGTTGAAATGTATCGAATCGAAACGCAACCAGATCACTAAGTGTACGTGTGTATGTGTGTATGTGTATACGTGTTACAACTAACACTTGCATGTCGCAAGTGTTTCTGCTTGGCTTCTCCGCTGGTACGTTGCATTGGTGCCTGGTGACCGGATGTCTCTCCGCCACAATTTATTGACTTGCCGAGTTTGCTAGTCTTATACCAAAGTCGCTGAAAGGACGTCCCGTCGTCTGTGTGTTAAACTACTTCCTATGAACACAACACATGATTCAATGTGATAAACTACTTACATGTGCATCGGCATAACCGGGCGAGTGCTATCCATAACCACACCCTTGTGTGTGTGTGTACATGTGTTCACATATCCTGTCTACAACGCCTTGGCGCGTGTGTAGAGGTCCAATCGTCGCTGTGAGGTGGTAGGTACCGAAGTTCTAACCTCTGCCACGCGGGCAGGGTCAATATCAGCATACACAATGGTGGCGTCATGCTCAGTCGTCGCTACTACTGTTCCCCTGTGACCATGGACAAAGATAAGGGCTTTGAGTGTGATACTTTAAGGCTCAGTGTTTACAGTCATGCACGCATATAGTGGGATATATGTATGTATGTATGGGAATACTACTAATTACAATTATAAATATATGCACATGTCATAATTATATGCATAAGTAAGTAACTAAGTACAGTAAATAGTGATTGGTGTCACTATCGCTGTTACATTTTCGCTGTGATCATACTAACGCGTTATCTCCAGCTGTGCTGTACGCGTTAACTTAAGTTATACACAAACTACCGAACATTACAACACAACTGAAAGACATCCAATGCAGGCAGAAACAACACAACAGATGACAACAACCACAACTGTTGACAGTACAAACAAACAGCACGAGAAAACCATTTACCATGGATCAACCACTGTGGAGTGGCCATATGCCACATACGGCCCATTCTCATCCCGCGAACCACACACTCCAGCTACGTACATCTGGTTGTCAACCGCCCTGTAGTATGAAAGAGAACGATAAGTATGGTTACATATGCACATAGATATGTACATATACAAATAGATATATACACACACACATATATAGATATACATATATATACATACATACATATATATATATATATATTTTAATATATGTACAAATATATATATATATATATATATATATATATATATATATATATATATATATATATATATATATATATATATATATAT